ATACTTGTTTATTGCATTTATATATCGCATTTGTGTGGCTTTTGCAGTGTTAAGAAAACAAATATCCAACAAAAAGCTTATTGTATATAATTATATATATATATATATATATATATATATAATTACAAAATATATACAATTTACTTTTTAATTTTATTAAGTATATTCATTCATTTATTGAATTCAGCATCATGTCCATCTGGGATTCTTGATTCTGAATGCACAGCAAACTCGTATTTCATTGATTGAGTTCTCTCTCTTCAGTTTCTATGAATAACTCAATGAAAATCCATATCTCAGGTCCATGGTTTTATGTATTTGGTATTGGCAGCCATAAGTGGGATGTAATGTACGTTCAGCTGATCAGTATTGTAAAATAACCCATCGGGGTGATATAAGACCACACTGTACATGCTGTCTGTACCGTATGTGATGAATCATCGCAGTAATAAACAACATGCTGTTTGTGCTTTATATGTGAGGAGTTCATTTGAGCAGACTCACGATAACCAGCTGATATCATAACATAAGTGTCATATTTATGTCATATAACTGAAATAATGGAGATTTAGCGCTACAACAGCCTTCAGTTTACTTGGAACAGCAGAGAACTGAATTATCAGGTACTTAATAAGACCATTTCTAGATTGTATTTACAAATGAGTGTGGCCAATATATACCCAAATAAATATACATACATTTATTACCAATAACCATTATATAATACCATCAGAATGTGTGAAGTTTGTCTGTAAACTGGGAAGTGTGTGAATAGAAGCGCACAGCACGCACTAACACAACACAACAGCCCTGCTCTGTTGTTCATGGGCGCCATCTTGGCTCAAGTTATATAAGACGAAGAGTGTACCGCGCGGGTGAATTTACTGACGAACTCACAGCATCACATGAATCAAGCGACTAAAGCAGGCGGTATTCTACTAGAACAAAAGCTCTAAGCTCTGTATTCTGTCGTCAATCAGCGTCAGAGCGAGCAAACACATGCTTCTGAGCCGCTGCGGGCGGCCGCGTGAGCTGTAGAGTTCTACTGCAGCCAGCAGCCAATCAGAGCCGCGCGTCGCGTCGCGTCACGTGTTCCGCGCGCGCTCTGCTGCGCAGTCACAGCGGCAGATAGAAAACAATGCAAGCGAGCCTGGCGAGAAAATAGTGAAGAATGGACGAATTAAACGCATCAGTCGCTCTTTTGAGAGGAGGACGCTTTTAAGGCGAGGTTAGTGTTTTAACGCATGGCGGGTTTCGCGGCGCGTGCGGAGCTCGGCTCACGCAACACTTGAGAAATGCGTGAATGCTCTTCTTATTTAGGTCGCCTCGGGGAACGAGGAATTACTGTGTGCTGTGCATCCAGTCAGAACGAGAATCTGCTCCTGATGAGAGAGCAGTAGATCTGCAGAGACATGTGATGGATTTGTGCAATGCACAGTGCAGTTATGACCTAATACATTCTGCTGCTTGTTCTGTAAAGCCATAGTTTCCTTCTTTTCTCACACATTGCATCTGTTTATACTATATTGCATGCATTTATAATATGTTACACTGGAGCACAAAACCAGTAATAAGGGTCCATTTTTGGAAATAAGCTGAATAAATAAACTTTCCATTGATGTATGGTTTGTTAGGATCGGACAATATTTGGCTGAGATACAACTATTTGAAAATCTGGAATCTGAGGGTGCAAAAACATCTAAATATTGAGAAAATCATCTTTAAAGTTGTTCAAATGAAGTTCTTAGCAATGCATATTACTAATCAAAAATTACGTTTTGATATATTTATGGTAGGAAATGTACAAAATATCTTCATGGAACATGATCTTTACTTAATATCCTAATGATTTTTGGCATAAAAGAAAAATGGATAACTTTACTAATAAATATGATTAAAACTACAGAAAGTATTGGTATTAGTGTTTGTGATTTTAACCAGTAAGCCAAATCAAGAACGTTGACTGTATTCTTGCATTGCATAAAAATTTCTTATTGTACTCGCATTTGATTTTATAGGCAAATGTTTTGCCAAATGTTGGTTTCACACTGGATGTGTGTACATATATAGATATTTTTTTTTTGCTTTAATGGGCTAGTCATTGGTGAACAGTTTTGAATATCAAAGATTTGTTTAATCAGTATTGTTCAGAAAGGTCTTATGACTGTTCAACCCAAATTTAGTGAAGAACAGAAAAAAATTGTAAGCCAAATAAATTAAATAAACATGAAATAAAAAATGCAACTTTCAGATGCAGCTCTTCTGCTCAACATTGGAGGTCAGAGAGTGTTTGAAATATTATTAACAGAAAATCTGGTTTTCAAAAAGTGAAACTTCAAGCTGATGGTGGCGCTAGAGAGTTTGACATGTAGACTCCCAAAACTGGCCAACGGACATTTCCGACCATGTTCTATCAGATAACAACCAATGCAAAACCTGGCACACTGTCCTAGTTTGTTCTGAGTGGTTATTAGTCATTTGCAGTTTGGTTGTTAGTGGTTGCATTTCCAAGTCTTTATGATATTCTGGTCTCTATGTGGTTCACTTTCAAGATACTTTGAAAAAGACAACAATGGTTATAGTAAACTTCTTTACAAACTCTTTTTCCCCAGCTTTCGCCTAACTAAAGTGTCATCTTTAATGCTCCATTAAATTCACTTTCAAGATGCACTAGTGATTTGAACATGAATTATCTTTAACAGTCTTTAACAGTGTTGTTGTTGGTTGCGTTACAAAGAATTTATAGAAGCAAAGGTCAAATTAGAGTTGTTGCAAAACATAACCAATGAAGAGAGTGTTTTATGTGAATCAGTTGTTTATTACTACTTTTTGAATCGTATTCCTTTCCAATTTCCTGAAACACTCTTTTTTTTTTTTCTCACCCATTGTGCAGATATAAACTAGCAGTGTGCTGAGCCCAAAGGAAGGGATTCTCACCAGTGGAAAAAACAGCTAATGTGGATCACATATTCTTTGGTTTTTGGACCGTAGGATTGTTAACTTGATGTCCTGACCATGCGTTCACAACAAAGTTTCATGTCATTTATGAACAGCAAGGCCAATGCTATACCTAGGAAAGACATTGAACGCCTGTTCTGTGCAAAATGTCGTTTTTCCACCAAGGACACTGACCTGTTCGAGAGGCACGTGTCCCATCATAAGGAGGTGACTTTATCCTGTGCGCTCTGCAGCTATGTTTCCTATTCGAAAACGGAGTCTCAGAAACACGTCGTCTCGCACACCGGCTCGTACCCGTACAGGTGTAGCTTCTGCTCGTACGGAGCCGTGCGGAGAGATTACATGGTGAAGCATATTCTTCGTATACACAAGAGAAATGCGGAAGAAGGCTTCATAACTGACTTCACTGTATCCACCCCAGATACAGGAGGTCCACCTGTTCCTGATGCTCTCGGGATTTCAGATTGGCCTGAAAGGAATGACCAGTGTGCAATTCCCAATTCCCATGTCGAACTCCCCAGTGGAAGTCAACCTGACCAATCATCTGTTATTAGTAAAACAGTGAGCCAAACCAGGAGTAATCATGCCCGGATGACCTACAGTTTTACGACGCCATGTATGACCAATACAACAACCGTCGTTCCGGTTTCTAAGACGCAGTTCACCGGTGCCATTCCCAGCTGCACTCCAAGCGTGAGTCACTCGTTAGGCAACACGCCGCAAGTGGTTCTAAGATCACGGGAGGCAAATGGCAACCTATCGAACTCTCAACTCAGTGCCGATGGGAAAATCAAGGTTTCCGTTTCGGAAAAGCTTATTCCGAAAGCCACGTTCCCAAGAGTCCATGTTTGTTCTACAGAACCACTACAGCAAAGGGTTGGTGTTTCGGAAAAGGCTATGGCTGCAAAAACCATTCCCAGAGTCCAGGTCCGAGCACCTGTTGAATTGAACACCCCGCTCAGAGCGCTGCTTAATACGCCCTTATCCAAGAGGAATATCCAGATGGATCAGAGGTCTAGTCAGTCCACAACAGGGACTAATGTTGGGATGCAGAAACCAGTTGTACTTCCCAGCAGTACAATCAAAAGTCCACTGCACTCCAGTGCAGAAAAGAGCAACCAGTCAAGAACGACCTCCAGAGCACCTGTAGGATCATCAGCAGAGACATCAGGCCCATTATCCAGTGTCCAAGTGGAACTGTTGGCACCTTTGAACCAGCCAATTCAACACAACAAGCCTTTGACTGTGTCCTGTCCAGAGGAGATCAATATTCCTGCAGGGTGTTTGGTGGAACTGGTCGAGGTGAAAAACGTCAACGGGACTCAAGAGTTGGAGCTACGGTTGATCCCACCCAATGGAATCCCGCAAGACAAGAAGAGCAACATGGATGAACCTTCATCAGCCACAACTGGAGGCAAACTGTCCTTCAAATGCCAAGTTGCCAAAGGGTGTCCAGTCAGCCCGTCCACGTCTGCAACATCTCACAAAGTCAAACAGCAGCGGCCTTCAATGTGCACCGGTGTTCAGACTATCACAAAAACTGTTCAGTCAGCACACAAACCACAGTGTTCTTCAGAGACGCCAGCCAGGTACAAGCGCAACCCGAAGACCAAGGATCCAGAGATCATCAGGCTCGAGGGTCCAGAATTGAGTTCTGAAAGCCTTCCAGTGATCTCATCAGTTTTCTCTCTTTGTCCTACGCCTAAGTCAACTCAAAGCATCTCAAAGTCCTTGCCAGAAATGCAACGCTGGACAGTGGCAATGAAAGAGCCGAAGGATGAGGTGAAGAATGCAGAGAAACCACTGGTCTGTAGTATTCTGATTAAAAAGGAGGAAACTGAGGACAAACCCAAAGGTGCTTCTTCGGGTCTCAAAGAAACAAAGACAGAGGATAAGACTAGTAAAGGCTCTGCAATATCTAAGACTCATGGTCAAGTGAAAAGATCAGAGAAAACCCTAAACACAAGCCACTCAAAACAAGCTCCAAATTTGACTCAACCATTGGTTTTGCCAAACCAGAGCGTCATTCCATCAAACAAAGATGACATTCCACATCAAGACAAGGGAAATTCTGAACATGAGTCTGGCCAAAAAAAACATTCCTGTGTTTTCAACATGTATCCAAAAGTAGCTTTGTTCAGGATTCCCAGTTCTATGTTGGAACCCACCAAGAAGCTTCCGGAAGCGCCAACTCAAGAGGAGAGTTTGACGGCGCGACCGGTTCTCTACTGCACGCTAAGCGAGCAGAACGTGTCCGGAAGTCCTGAAGTGGCCATCAAGCTGATACTAAAGAGAAACCTTTGTGAAAGTGAAAAGAAGCACCAAGACTCTCCACCACGTAAAAAACACAAGAAAGAAAAGAGAAAAGCCAAGAAACGCAGGTCATCGTCGGTTGGAATGGGCCTTCCTCGATTCTCAACCAAAGGTCAAGAACTGAGGTTAACTCCTCTGAAAGCGGATCAGCGCATCAAGCTTCCCGGTCCGAACCAGCCGGTTGTGGTTCTGAACCACCCCAATCCTTCAGTTCAGCGCGTCAGTGTTGGCGTCCAAACCCTGAAGAACTATAAGTGGGTTCACTCAGTGGATCACGAGCAAGAACAGCCGGCGAGGAAACAGCCTTCATTCAAGATGAAACTCAAGAAAGTCCATGGACAGAAGTATCAGGTAATCGAGTTCATTCTGAAGGGAGTCTCGGAGAAACAGCTCTCGTAAAAACCAGCTACAGATATCTCGTGTATTGATTTTTTACGATAGTGCTATTTTAGAAAACCCATGTGAGATCATTTTAACGGTAATAAAGCTGGTTGGTGGGCAATTGTAATTCAATGCCAAATAAACATTTCGTCAAATATGTTGTGATTAGACCAAGTATTAGCTATTCTGGTCATATTATAGTTGGGAATAAAAATAACTTTTTTCAACATTACTTACCCGGCATGGCCCACTTGACAACAGCAATGACAAACATGCTCATATATATGTATAATATATAAATGTAAAACTGAACTGCCAATATGTAGAAGTTATTCGTAAGAAGGTCAGAACTCTGAAACCAAGAGGTTTCAAACAACACTAATGTGTTTTAGGATGTTGCGTGTTATTTGTCATGACTGTGTACAGGCTCGTTTCAAACAGACATCTTATGTTTGGAGATTCACAAATGTTCACATGAAGTACATTCACTGAAATCATTTCACGTCGTTTACTGTCATCATATTACGAGCACGTAAGCATCAGCGTTAAGTGAATCTTTTCTGATTTTTGTGCACATGGTCTTTGTTGGGTGAGGCTTTGTCATTTGTGAAATTCAAACGTATGTCGTACAGTAAAAGTGTTTTTGCAAACAAACAAAAAGGTTTGCGTATACGGACTCAGTATTTCACTGTAAACTACAGCACACATGTACACTCACTGTCAAAGTCTGAACATCAAACAACTTTCCTTGTGTAAAATGTCCCGTCATTAAACAGTCGAGACGGTTCGATGTGTTTATCATTGTAAATCTACCTCAAATGATCAAACCAGTAAACCGACTGTTTTCTTTTATTACTGTTGATGTTATGTAAAGTTACAGCTGAGCTTCTGATTTTCAGGGCATCTGCTCATCTGTAAACACAAAGAATGTGTCTAGAAACTAAACATGTGTCACGAGTTTGTCAAACTATAATCTGTACATAGTTCTGAGGCTTCAGAATCATAACATCTATTTTAAATTATTCATAAAGGCCAAAAAATATTAAGTGTGACTAAATAAAACTTATTAATAGATAAAAATTTTCTGGGATAATGATTCTTGTGTGTCTGCATTCGGCCAAACACGTGTGTGTTAAAATGTCAAAAATATTGAATCCTTTAGATATTCGATCGCTATACACAGCCACATTATTGAATGACTGATTTATCTTAGTTCTATCAGATGAGCTCTTTGGCTCTTTTGAGTCTGTACCAGTCTAACGTCACTAAAAATGTCTTATAAAGCTAAAAGGTCCGCTAAATGTTCAGTAGACGTTGCGGGTCGTTTGTATTTGCTCTTATTTCAACAGCTCGGTCAGGTCCTGCGCTGTGATTGGGTACATCAGCACACACTGCCTCCTCTGATTGGCTGCCGTGGAGGATTTCCGCCCGTCGATGAGAACGATGGGAAAAATGGAGTGGAACTTGATGATGTCAGTGACCGAGTCAAACCTCTGAAAGACAAAGAGACGAGAGATGATGATGATGATGCTGATGTACCGTCAAACACTGCGTTCTGCTGGTGTGTGACTCACATCATTGGTTCTCAGGCCCGTTCCCAGAGTGTATTTGCTGATTTCATCACTGAAGCGGATCTGAATGTTAAACACTCTTTTGTCGTAAAACACAGCGAGGACCAAGGGCTCATAGGTAGTGTTCTTCGAGCAGTCGCGCACTAGAAAGGCTCCTTCCTGTGGACAAAGTCAGCTGGTATCATATAAACATCAAGATCTGTATCTAAACATAATTCATGCATAATCCACATGTTTGTTTTCTGAGTTTGTGATTTCTGTACGTTATTGTGTCTCTGAACTGTAACAAATGTGATGATGTTGGAGTGAAATGAAGGTGTGTTTTACCCGGTTGACCAGGTGAAGAGCGTGTTCAGCGTCCACGCGACTAACCGTACCAACATACCAGTTCTGATCCGCCAATCCCTGCAGGACAGATGTGACACGGACATTAGCGGTGTATTTTCTAAATGCATGTTATTGATCTTATTTTGAGCAATCTGTTCAATCATGCACTAAGTTCGGAATAATTACGATTTCTTAATGTTTCTGAAAGAGTCTCTTCTGCTCACCGAGGCTGCATTTATTTGATCAAAAATACTGTAAAAATAATTAAATATTATTCTAATTTAAAACAGCTGTTTTCTGTGTGAATATCTGTTAAACTAATGTATTTCTGTGATGCGCAGCTGTATTTTCAGCATCATTACTCCAGTCTTCAGTGTCACATGATCTTCAGAAATCATTCTAATATGCTGATTTGCTGCTCGGCCGTTTTCATGGCGAGAAATATTATGGCGGAATTATATCATATTTTTATAATTAATTTTTTGTAAAAACTCAAACTATTTGGCTTAACTCTTAAAAATTGCTAATTTCAGATAAATGTTCGTGTTATATATTTTGGTTGCATTTGTGAGTCAATAAAAATGTAACTGCTTGTGTATAATCTCATAATATCAATAAATCGATCGATATACTCCTGTATCGAATCGTATCGTAATCGTATCAGAATCTTTTGAGGTATCTGCAAATATCGTATCGCTAGGTATGAGAATCGATATCGTATCGTATCATGACGAAACGTTCTATTTACATCTCATATTAAGTACATACTAGATCTCAGGTTAGATGGAGAATGAACTACATGCAGTTAACTATGGGGGGCGCTAGACAAAATACTAATAATAATAATTAGAAATGGATTAGCATTAATAATTAGCATTTCAATCTAAATCTGATGTCATATTAAAATGGAGTCAGATTAGAATTTATATTAAATTTCTTCGCACAATTCCTTTTAACCACCATTGGATACCTACGTTGGGCCAATTGGGTGGACCTTACAACAGGAATAAATTACAATAGAAAACTTATTTAAATTGTAATAATGTTGCACTGTTTCTACTGTATTTTTGATCAAGTAAATGCAGCCTTGGTGAGTAGAAGAGATTTCTTTCAAAAACATTAAAATATCTTAATTATTCCAAACTTCTGACAGGACGCATGTTCTATTTATTTTTTTTAAACAATGTAAAACTCAAATCAAATTGTCATAACTGGATCTTTTTCTCCCTACAGACTCTCCAATCACCTAAACTCCGCCCACAATTATCTGCAAACTCACATTTAGACCCGCCTCCATTTAAGAGTGCCACGCCCACATTTCAACATCCAATCAACAACCGGCAGACAGAACTAAATCTCCGCCTCTTTTTCAAAAATCTGTTACATTGCTGAAGAAAAGATCTGCAGCTACTTCTGTTTCATCTCGACATTAAACACTGCTGATTTGAACTGTAATAATAACTGAAGCGTCAGTGATAAAGGCAGTATTAGCGCTGATGTTGTACCTGCGCAGGTTTGCTGTGGTTGGTGAAGCTGCCGTCGGTTTCTCCTTTAGCAGGAGGCCATTCGTGATGCTGCTGCTTCCTCACGAGTGAATCTGTAACGAATCCAGAATCTGTGAATCTGAGCCGCTTCAGCTGTGATTCAGTGAGTCGGTTCTTACCGAACGAGCTCTTCTGGCTCTCACAGGAGCTGCAGGATCAGACAAACACTGTTACACACAGCATTCCTCTAATTAATGATGTTACAGCACATTAATTGTGTGTGACTGCGGTCAGTACCTGTCCAAATCCTGAGAGTCCAGATCCAGAGAAAACCTGTGAGACGTGTGACCTGCAGAACAGGTATATTATATTTTATTATTACAGCTATTATATTACACTACAGTCAAGCGTTTTTGAACAGTTAGATTTTTAATGTTTTTAAAGAAGTCTCTTCTGCTCACCAAGCCTGCATTTATTTGATCAGAAATACAGCAAAAGCAGTAATATTGTGAAATATTTTTACTATTTAAAATAGCTGTTTTCTATGTGAATATCTATTAAAATGTAATTTATTTCTGTGATGCGCAGCTGTATTTTCAGCATCATTACTCCAGTCTTCAGCGTCACATGATCTTCAGAAATAATTATAATATGCTGATTTATCATCGAGAAACATTTATTATTAATCATCATTAGAATGATTTCTGAAGATCATGTGACACTGAAGACTGGAGTAATGATGCTGAAAATACAGCTGCGCATCACAGAAATAAATTACAGCTTAACAGATATTCACATAGAAAACAGCTGTTTTAAATAGTAAAAATATTTCACAATATTACTGCTTTTGCTGTATTTCTGATCAAATAAATACAGGTTTGGTGAGCAGAAGAGACTTCTTTAAAAACATTAAAAATCTTACTGTTTAAATACTTTTGACTGCTAGTGTGTATTATATTATGTTATATTATATATTATATAAGGCAACATAACTTACTTGCAGATGATGGTGTTTTAACCTGAGGGTGAAATGGAGAGTGATTATTATTTACATGAATTATCTGATTTTTGTTTGAGTTTCTTGAATACACAAAACCATCAGACATCATGCTTTAATAGTGATTGTTGGCAATTTCTTTATATTTGGAACATCTGTTTCTTTAAATACAACATTTGTTGGTCAAAACAATGGTTATATATATTACTGGATGTATTTGCGGTTTCATAAATGCTTTGCTGATATTAATAGTCTGTTTACTGACACGTTTCCACTGTGACAACATGCCCCGCTCTCCTCCACATGTACTGTTTTTATTTCTAGTTAGTGCTCTATGATGAATAGCATGGCATCAGAACAGGTTTTTGTAAAAAGTAAATTAAATTGTGTATGGATCAAGCTTTGACGGATTGACTTTGTTATGTGTAAAATATGGAGCTTGAATGAATTTGAGTTACAGCAAAGAAATGGACTTACATTCTCTCGCTCACTTGGACTGGATCTGAGAATAAAAACACAAATCAGACAGTTTAACTTAAATAGGAGAAATTAAGAGTCAACTTAAGTCTTTTTAAAGTAATTTTCCAGTCTTGTTTTAACCCTTTTCATAGACCGAGTCAGCTCTGCTGAGAGTTTTAAGTTATATCTTAGTTGCTGCCGATGCAGGTGACTGATTTTAATTCTCTGCTGCCTTTGGCACTATAGACCACCTGTTGCTCTTATCTAGATTAGAATCCTGTGTGTGGCGTTAAAAGGTTCAGTCCTGAATCTAACCGAGAGATATTTTTCACTCTAGATCGGCTGTGTTTCCTCCTCTTGAATCTGGAATTCCTCAGGGCTCTATTCTAGCACCTTTGCCTTTTCTCTCTTCACATGCTTCCTTTAGGTTCGATTCTGAGAATGAATGGCGTGTCTTTCCACTTTTATGCAGATCTATCCACCTATTAAAAATTACCCTTCTGCAATACAATCTTTATTTGCATACCTTGATGAGGTAAAGCTCTGGTTGGCAAGTAACTTTAAATGACTCAATGACTGAGGTTATAGTCTTAAACAGTCTAACAATTTTGAGTTTAACTCTTTCCCTGCCAAACATGGAATTTTCCAGGTTTCTGTGTTTTCACTGTTATACACTCGGGGGCGCTATTATGCATCTCCTGAATAAGTCCAGAATCTCTCGATCAGAAACACAGTTGAGGAAGACGCAGAAACGAGCGATCTCATATGTAAGCAGATGCATATGAAAAATAATACGATCATCAACAATAAACGACATATAAATGAAAAGTGCCTAATGTTAGCGAGTGAAATGAAATGTGAAAGGAACTGGCAAAGGACTGTGAAGCTTTGGGAGTGTTGATGATCTACTGCAGCTATGCTTTGATCATCGTACTGAATATGATCCAGTTGTAGTATTCAATAAAAACTTTATTTTCTCAGCTTTGTGTTTTTATTTAAATTTTTTTTAGTTAACAACTCTACCCAGGAAAGCCTGTCGGCTAGCTTTTAACACCAAGGTTCTGAACCTCAGTGTTCTTCGTTACAGTCAACTCACTTTAGATAAACATGCTTCCTCTGTTGTTGCTTCTAGCTTTTTTCGGCTCACTTACTTTCTAAAATTAAACTAAAATTTATTTCCTGCCTGAAAGATCTCTTGAGAAAGGTAGTGAGGACATCATTAAAATAGTCCATGCGATATCAGTGGTTCAACTGTAATTTTACAAAGCTACGAGAATACTTTTTGTGTGCAAAGAAAACAAAAATAACTATGATGTTTTTGTATGTGTTATTTCCTGTTTCGACTTTGAGCTTGTGCATCGCTTTGGTCAGTCCGGTGACTGTTTTTAAATGTGCTTTATAAATAAAAGACTTGAACTAGTTTCTGCAGGTGTGTGTGTGAGACCCACTGTGTCCATGCTGGTCTGCTGTTGTGTGATCTGGTTTGCGGTGACGCTGGTTCTGGTGCTGGTCTGGATGGAGGAGACTCATCAAACTGGTTTGGATAGTTAGGGATGGTCTGTACTGGTAGAGGCGGTAAACGCAGGTGATCTCTGGGTAATGATCTCACCGGCCTGAAACCGCAGCACACAATCACTACACTGAACACGTGTGTGTTTCTCACAGGTGTGTGTTTCAGTATGACGTGTGTCTGCACTGTTGCTGTGTTTGATTACCTCTGTGGGACTGTGACAACCTGTCATGAAGAGATTCACACACATGATCATCAGCACAAAAACAACACAAACTCATTCAGTGCAGAAAGTGATTCAAAATGAGACTGAAGAAATGAAAACAGGACCACAGACTCACAGGAATTATTAGCTGTATTATATTTCTTTAACATTACTGCATATAAACTACCATTCAAAAGTTTGGCATCAGCATGATTTTTAAATGTTCTTGAAAACGTCTCTTCTGCTCACCAAGGCTGTATATATTTAATCAAAAATACAGTAAAAACAGTGATCAGTCTTACTGAGCCCAAACTTCTGAATGGTGGTGTATTTATTAATAAAAAGAAGTCAGGTGTTTTCTTTACCCTGTCAGCAGATCCCATCAACTCCAATCGTCCATCTGCACACACACACACACACACACAGATTCACAATTCAACGCAAGCTCAAGCATCTTATTGCTTTTATAAAGTATTGCATATATTTTCATTGAAATATTGTTTTATGTATCAGATATGCACAGACAGACAGACAGACAGAGATAAAGACAGATGGACAGACACAGATAAAGACAGACAGATGGACAGACGTACAGACAGACAGACAGAGATAAAGACGGACAGAGATAAAGACAGACAGATGGACAGACAGACAGAGATAAAGACGGACGGACAGACAGAGAGATAAAGACAGATGGACGGACGGAGAGGCAGATAGACAGACGGACGGTTGGACAGAGATAAAGACAGACAGACAGACAGATGGACAGACAGACAGAGATAAAGACAGACAGA